AACCTGCTCCAGAGCGCTCTTGACTTAAGACTGGGGCAACGGTTCATCTTTCAACAGGACAACGACCCTGAGCACACAGCCAAGATATCGAAGGAGTGGCTTCAGGACAACTCTGAATGTCCTAGAGTGGCCCAGCCAGAGCCCAGACTTGAATCCCATTGAACATCTCTGGAGGGATCTGAAAATGGCTGTGCACGACGCTCCCCATCCAACCTGATGGAGCTCGAGAGGTTCTGTAAAGAGGAATGGGCGAAACTAGCCAAAGATAGGTGTGCCAAGCTTGTGGCTTCATATTCCAAAAGACTTGAGGCTGTAATTGCTGCCAAAGGTGCCACAACAAAGTATTGAGCAAAGGCTGTGAATACTGATGTACAAGTGATTTCTTTTTTTTTTTTTTTTTTTTAATAAATTTGCAAAAATTGCAAACAAACTTTTTTTAAGTTGTCATTATGGGGTATTATGTGTAGAATTTTGAGGAAAAAAATGAATTGAATCCATTTTGGAATAAGGCTGTAACATAACAAAATGTGGAAAAAGTGAAGTGCTGTGAATACACTCCGTATGCACTGTATGTGCGTTTAAACCCTTAAAAGTAGAAACCCAATGTTGGGCCAAACTCATTGTGCAAAGATAGTTCAAACCTACAGCAATTTATTTTACATTTGATACATTTGCATTTTGCGGCATTAAGACACAGAAATTCTTGGATTTGAATGTTTCACTCAGTGTAAACATTATGTATGTAGCTTCAAAGGTTTAGAACAAGCAGGATGTGTATGATAGTGTGAGACAGAATAGCTTTAAAGCTACATAGGGGAAATAAAAGGTAACTGTTTAATAGGGTTAAAACAGCCCATTAATGAAAGTCAATCATTTATTCCCTCTGTCTGATCAAAAGGCTATCAAAGTTTCATTATTAAATAGTAAAGGGTTTGTTTCTTCTCATTCACTCTGAACCCAAGTTACAAATAGCTTTCGCCTAATTGTGCTTTATAACTTTGAAGTATGTCTGTTCACAACAAATGTATTGATTGACTTGTCTGCAACTACTGGAGTAGCTAAGAGTCTTTTCAAAGTAATTCATTTCTCATCAGCGACAGCCTGCAGTCCATTGAACATTTGGCTGAGAGAACCTGTCTACATCCCCTAACACTTTAAAATCTCCTATTAGAGAATAGGGGCATCTAGTAGTTCAAGAATAAATATTCTATGAGTAGTGCTGTTCTGTTTGAGTGTACATTACAAGATCCACACCTTAATCCACCTGCATTATCACTAATGTAATACATAATTAATATCATATGTTTAAACTGGGTACCTTAATTAAAAACTTTCAATCCAACATACAAATCTGTACTCAAAAGGGAACAGACAGGACATATTGGCTTTACCTCTGGTTGGAATAACTTTTATTTGATCTGTCTGTAAACAAGATGTCTCATCAATTCATGGCATTTGAAAAAGCAGATTTTGTGGCAGACGGATTTTCCAACTCAAAAAAAAAAGACAAAATATTGGAAACTTATTTTTTTCTGTCGTTTAATTCTGTACATATTCCACAAAGTCTGGAGATTACTGATGCCAAAATATCCTTAAGGAAAGTGCCATTTAAAGTTACTTCTTGCTGGGGCAGCAGTTAAAAATCCAACTTGTAGTAGCAACAGATCAGATCGATTTTATGGCACAGAATACACAGTTATTCTCAGAAAATTTTCACAAGACAACTTACAAATGTTCTTATTCCAACCAACACCATTTTCAATATGTTTAGTGTACACAGTATCATTTTTTCTTTTAAATATACTTCTAAGTACCATACTATGACAATTTGTGAATACACCTTTGATGACTAAAGCACAAGGCAAATAATTCCAAGGTGTTGGAGCCCAACAGCCTTGGTTTACAGTCAAAATGCATTCATACTGTAGTAAAATGACATTGCCATTTCATTGGTTAATGGATATAAAGTTAGCAACAAATCAATTAGTGAAGTTTAAGTGTTGAAGTCTAAGGAAGCAGTTAAATGTTTTACAGTCATCTTACTGATTTACAGTCAACAGGTGATGCCAACAATCATCAATCAGAATAAGCTGAAGTAATTCTGATAATCCTCTTATACTGACAATTGGTCCATCAGGGAGGGGGAAAAATAACTTCACATAACATGAGTGGAGTGATTTACAGAAAAATTTACAAGTAGCAGAAGCTAGAGTGACAAATGATTGAGATGTCGCAGAGGTGGAATGTCCACTGAAACCCCTGGATGTGGTGAAGTATCATGACAATATCTTGAGAGCTCAGCAATGCTGACCTTACACTACACTCAAACAACAACCCACCACCACATCATTAACTTTTAAGACCACATTCAGGTACAACAGCAAAAGCATGTGATGGAGGGTAAAAAAGTGGTGCTTGAGCGTGGCAAATTGATACACACATACAGGACTGTCAGAGGAAATTTGTCATTTCTTTAATGGAGGCGTGAAGACTTGAAAGATGGAGGCAGATGAGAAGATGGTTTTGGCTGGAATATTACGCTGGGACAGAGAGGGGACAGCACTGGGATCTGTATGCTAAAGAGGGTATGCATGCAACTTTTAAATGCCCACATGCTGATGAAAAAAAAAAAAAAAAGCTAAACAAAACTGTCATATTTTAATAATGCTCACAAAGCATAACTATTCAAACTGTCACCACCATTACATTTGTACTTCCCCTTGATATATTAGCCAGTTGCTAAGTGAATGTTATACAAGGCGAGTCCAATTTTGTGTTACACTTTTATTATTACACTTTGATCATTTTTTTTGCACTCTTTTGGTTAAACATTTCAATGAACATGCCATTGCTGTAGTGTCAAACACATGAGAAGTACAATGTTAAAGTGGGAAAGGTTTCTTTTAAAAAAGTCAGGGGGTAATTGAGCAAACAAAAGGCTGTGTATAAAAGTAGACTGGGGAGGAAGTAACATTGTATGCCATCTAATCCTGGAAGTAGTGTCAACACAATGCGGTGAGTGGGAGTGAGCTGCTAAGTTGATGGATGGGTGGAGAGGTTGCTTAATATCCAGACTTCCTCAGGTACTCAGCCATTGTATGTGCTTTCTTGTTAAGATTTCCACCATGGACCGCCTCCTTTCCCATGACTAAAACCAATACTGGAGCACACAAGGAAAAAAAGAGAAATGAACACAATTGAAGAGTCTCCCCCCTACAGGATGAAGAGGGGAACAAAGGTGACACAGTATCTTACCACTCTTCATTGCTATTAAAAGTTTCCAAGACATTTGACTGCTTGCAGGAGAAATCTTAACAGCAATATTTCTTTTCTCTTCTTTTTGTCCCTCAATTTTATCTACGTGAGCTTGAAAACATTAAAACCCTGAATCCCTCAAGTATTTTGCCATTGAGTAAGCCTTCTTATTCAATCCGCCTCCATGGACCCCTTCTTTGCCCATTACAAGAACCAAAACTGAAAGAGAAGAGATAGAAAAAAGGGGAAAGTTAAGAAAATTAAAAAGAAAAGGTAAAAGGAAAGGCATTCCAACTACAAAGTAATGTCACCAGAAGTGTGTGGTGCAGGAATATTCAACTGTGTGCCATGCAGGGCTAACTGTCTGCAGGGGTTCTTGGCTAC